AATTTCCCTAGACTGAGAGGTTAGGACAAGTGTTTACGTAACTTGAGTTACACACTTACAAGCTTACATCTCATTATCTCAACCATAATTGCTTACGGACTTAAGCAGTCTCAGTCAGGGCCTTCTCTAGGGTCATAAGCCTTGATGACCAGAGGCTGAAATTAGTCTTTTGTATGTAAGCAGAGTTTCGAGACTACTAGTAACTCAGTTATATGAGATGTATTCACCCTATTTCGTTTAAGATGATGAAGGAGTGGTCTTTTGAGTACTGATTTGGGACCGGTATTGCGTATTGACGCCAACCCCCCTGCACAGACACTAGAACGAAGGTAGCAGGCCCAATACGAAAGATAATTAGTTAAATCATTCTATATCTATCTAGGCTTTTTAATTTTATTTTGCTTAATTTATTCTTTATAAGAGGTAAGATAGAGCCGGATTGTCTTGTTGACCTAGTGTTAACTTGACACTTTTACAAAAATGAATTCCAGCTCAGATGATGTCCATCATATGATGGACGAAAGCTCAGCCCGTTTTCACTCGAAATGAGAGAGGTCTCGTGGACTGCGTTAACCTGAACGTCGTATAAAAGCCAAACGACTGCAGTACAAAGGAATTCAGCTGTCCTCTTTTGGTGAAATCGACCTACGAATCTATTCTTCATGCACTTTCATAAGAAATGAAAGTCACCCCAATAAATATCGGTAGTCGATGTATTGACCCTGCAAACTAGTGTGTTAATTTAAAAATAGTCATTATCCGTGCAAAATCAAAAAGATTTAATTTTGAAATAGATCGAAGAGACGGACAACTAAGAGGCTATTTACCAAAAATACCCAACTTTCTTTAGATGATCTCATGCCGATTTATAGTATCGTGTAAGATAAGACCTTTATTATCTATAGTAATGGTAGCATATCTAACAAAGCTGAGACAATGAACTTTTGCCATCCTTACTCGGCGAAGTTTTCATCACTTACATCGTAATCGGCATCGTCAGTGGGTCTTGACATTATTAGCACCACACTACAACTCGTTAAAAAGACAAATGAAACGGATCCTTTGAAAAATTGTCTTCTAAATAGTTGTGGTATCACTCGTTCTATCCTGGGGAGATCCTATATCTTCGTATCACCATTTCACCATCACAATTTATTATTTATATGTGGCATAGTGTGCCCTTTTTTAGCTGATTTCATGAGTACTCTCCACACTCCACGCTAGCTTTCTCACCCACTCACCCCTCAACCCTCTTCCTATTGGTATTATCAGTCTCCCTCATGTCACGCAGTATCCGCAATCTACATTCTTGGTTCATGTATTTTATTTGACCCCTACTACCCTATCTGTACCGCTCGAAGTGTTATTTCCCATACTGTCTCAAGCCTTTGAGGCACGCATGATCCCGCCTCGCTAGGTAGGTCCCAAAAAATCAGGATTCTCAGGCTGAATGAGAGACTAATTTGAGGCTAAAGCGCCCAAGCAATTCTCATGGTCAAGCCTTTGCTTCATGGACCACGTATATGATCATAAACGTCTACTGTCAGCCAACTAGCTCTAGTCTCCGCCGCATCTTTCGTGCTTACAGCCATAGTGCCAAGTCTATGACTTTCTATGCCCTAGTCTCTTGTGTGTCAAGCCATAAATGTTGTGGTCCTACTTATGCGAGGTCGAAGCTGCAATCCACCCTGGATGAGATAATATGTTGGGAAAGCAAGGCTATGTAAAAATTCAATGGAAACGTCAGATTTAACGGTATCATTTGAAGAAAAATCAACTACCAGTCCTTTCTCACATTAAAAAGAAATGCAGTGAATACTACTCATATAACAGTAAATGCGTTTGATCCTAGACGTAGATAATGAAGCAATGAGAATTACTCGAGATCTTTAGCCTCAAGTTAGTTTCTCATCCAGCTTAAGAATCCTGATTTTTGGGGGCCTACTCAGTGAGGCGGGAGTATGCGTGCCACCAAAGGCTTGAGACTGTGTGGGAAATAATTCTTCGAGTAGTACAGATAGGGTAGCAGGGGTCGAGTGAAATATCTGAACCAGTAATGTAGGAGGCGTATCCTGCGGGACAAGAGGGAGACTCTGATAAGACCTATGGAGAAATGATTGCGGAAAAATATGGCAGAATTTTATTAACATTCCCAGTACAAGGATAAAGGGAGGGTGAGGGGGTGAGAAAGCCAGTGTAGGCTGTGGAGACTTCTCATAAAATCTACTCACCAGGGCACACCATACCAAATTTAAATAAGTAAATTATAAATTGTGATAGTGAAGAGGTGATACGAGGATATAGGATTGGGGAATAGCCCAGGGTACGAGATACCACAATTGTTCAGCCGGCAAGGCTAACTGACAATGCCGGAGAAACGTCTAGGAATGTACCACGTCCACGGCCCGACTCTGGAAATTATAATGCATATTATGAACTCCGGACTAGATGTCTTCCTCTATATCTTCCTACCAATATGACTAAGTTGCAAAAACAAGGTCAAACAACTTCTCCTCATAAAGAGCATACGCACATGTTTTACGGTCCTTTTTAGATTCCTGACTATTCGGATGAAAGTCAATAAAAGCTTATTATATTTTTTAAGATATAAATAACCCTCACAAGGCAATAAAAAGTAATAGCTCACAATAGACTATGCACGAAAACGAATACTAGCATTTATCAGAGAATGATTCGCATCGAGTCTCAAATAAAGGAATGTCTCTTTCATATCATAAACTTACTTGCACCATAACTGATGAATCATAGTGAGATGAATCAGAGTTTATTTATTCTATGCATGGACAAAAATCGAGAAAGATTTGGTAACGTCATAATGTTTAAAAATACAGTATTCTCAGAACTAGTCCAATATTAATGAGATGGTATTTATATTAAGTAGATATGATCGATGTTAATTGTGTAGTACTTTGAAGAAAGTAGAATAACGATTAAGTAATAAAGCTTACTGTTCAAAATATAACAATATGTACTCGCATCCGCAAAATATGACTATCAAAAGAAATATGAAAATTTTTCACCGTTTTTAGTAATCAAAGGATGTTACTGCGCTTGCTTTCAATGAACATGGAAATATTCCAAAGGTAAAACTGCGCGCCAGACGCTATAAAAAGAGTGATTTATAAATGGGGAAAAGCAGATGCAAATGCAAATGTGAAACTGACTTTTCCTAATATATTTCCTCATATTGTCCATAAAAGGATTGTCAATTATCGTCACGGCAAGGGATAAAAAATAATTTATTTATAGATTAATCGTAGATATTAGGACCAAGATGTTTCGGATTCTAATTTTGTCGCAGACTCCATTAATTCTATAGGAGTGGTTTGACTTCGTTTCTGCAATTTGGTCGTAGTTTCAGGGGGATCTGGTTGACCGCATCTTTTTCGAAGTCCTCTGTATGGTAGTTATGATAATTCACAGCGTCTGACCATGCATTTGACACATTCTGGGACGTTTCGCCACCATAGTCAGCGAATCTTGCCACTTCTTTTATTCATGCTGATTTGAAACTTATAAAAAATGCAGTATATCCGATTATTTCTTATTCACTATTGAAATTCTTTTGACTTAACGACATCATACTTTCTTTTTAATCAAAATAAAAAGCCTATCCTATGTAAACTATGTAAATATGACGAATAGGAAAATTTAAGGAAATCATTCAGTACTCGAACCCAAAAATGTGTACAGTAGAGAGACTAAAGTGTGTAGTATAAGAGACAAGAGATCCACTTGCAAATACATAAATCAGAGTTTTTAAATATTTGGACGCGTAAAACCACTAATAAA